AGTGCCGCCCTGTGCCCCCGCCACAGACCCACCCGGGGTGCCCGCGGGACCAGAACTCGGGGTGTGCGGGTGGTCCCCTGCCCCGGGCGGGAGGCCCTGGAGCCTCTGGCCAGGACCGCGCACCGAGCGCGCGCCGTGCCCCAAGTCCCGCCCGGCCTGGAGGATCTGGGGTGGGGTTTGGGGGTGCCTCGGGTGCTACTACTCCCTAGAGAATGGCTCCAGATGTGAGCACTGGGGTCACTCCTGCACCTTGTTCCATCCCCGGGCCACTGCTGCCAGGGACCAGAGGCTGGATTCTGCTTGGGGTTTGAATGGGGGCGCACGAGTGTCCCAGAACGTTGTGAACGTTCACTTGGAATAGACCCACTTTCACGCAAGCCGGGGAACTCTAGGGCTGGCGACACCTGCGGCTCGGTGGGTCGCGGCGTCCGGGGGCCGCCCTGCCACCCCCGCCCATCTCCATCTGCCAGGCTCCCACAGGCACCTGTTAACTTGGCGAGCTCGGAGCGGCTCGCGACCTAAGGATCCTACCTTCCGCGCGCTCCCCTGTTCGCCGCGATTTGAGGTCCCCGCCTAGGGTGGCCGTCATACACGGAAGGGCTGTGTCATTATCCCGCCCCGTGGTGTGGTGAGCCGGCCCGCTTTGCCCACCATGCTTTGGGCTCAGAACTCCACCTGCGCAGCTTTCGAACGCCTTTATTGTACACCTACTATTTGCTCCTCCAAGTATTTGCTAAGCATACAAATGGAATAAGTACGGTGAGAAGATACAACACCCTACACACACCTTTCCCGAATTTAAGGCACGAAACAGCGCCTTGCTCTGTTCCAAGGACTGTCGCGATCTACAAACCCTTTCCAGGAGAGCCCAATGAAATGTCCTGGAATTCCTATTCTTCACCCTATTCTCTATAGTTTATGCTCCACACAGTCAAACAATGCCCTTGTACTGACAGTAACACATTCTTTCTGGTATTCTCTCCTTTCAGCCGAGATCACCGGGCATCAGCAATGATCACCCTTTTTTGAAACTCCTCTTCTGAATCTGGCACGAATTTTAGGAAGTTCCTGGTTGGTGCATGGTTGCCATCATTTTTTTAACTATCTGCAGCAAAAGTTTACTTGTGTTTAATATGAATGATAGTTGGACCATTTTTACATTCTGTTAAATCGCCTTCCGTTGGCTTAGTGACAATGTGTATATAGATCTATTTATGTATATATAGATCTATTTCCAGACAATAGCTCTCTTGAAAGTTTCTTGGTATAGTGAGTGCTTCCAGCGTTGCGATCCTTTGTTGAAATATCTCCATCGGCATCTGAACAATTTCTGGACCCTTATTTTCCACCATTGTCTTCAGTGCAGCTTGAACTTCTTCCTTCAATACTATTGGTTCTGGGTTAGGTGCCACCTCCTGAAGTGGCCAACCTTTTTGTTAACTGTGACTCCTGTTCCTTCCAGCTTCTTTTGATGAATAACCTGGCATCAAAATCGGAGGCAGGCTCCTTAACAATCTGTGATGTGCAGGTGACACAAGGTGACTGGCCGAAAATGAAAAGGACTTGAAGCCTTTATAATGAAGATCAAAAACCACAGCCTCCAATACGGATTACACCTCAACCTGAAGAAAGCCGAAGTCCTCACTGAGGAGCCCATAGGCTTCACCATGCTAAAAGGAGCAAAGGTGGAAGATGTCAGGGATTCCCTTTCATTTGGATCCACAATCACCGCTCTCCGTGGAACCAGCGATCAAGAAATCAAACGACATATTACTGCCTTGAGGCAAATAAAAAACCTAACGCACTGCCCTGGATTCCAACTCACGGTGAACCTACAGGACAGCCCAACAGGTAATCAACCACAGCACCGGATCAAAGGTGTTAAAAGGCAAACCCACTATCTGGAAGGCTGAAGTGAGCTCCACTCCAGCCCCGGTCATTGCCCTGGTCTCCTAAGCATGTGAAAGGCTGGGCCATGAATAAAGAGCAGATGCATTTGAATTCTGTTGGTGAACAATGGGGCCAGACGGCCCTGGGGGCACTCTCTAGTTCGCAAGGGGCAGCTAACTAAGACTGGGTCGAGGATTCAAACCCACCACCACATTGTCGAAAGACAGAGGAGGCTCTCTGCTCTCCACGCCTGTGAAAATGTACAGTCTGGGGAACCCTTTATAGAGTTGCTCGAAGTTGGAATTGGGAAGGACAGTTAGAAGGCTCCTTGGAAGGAAGGGTGGTGGGTGGGTACTCTTTGTCTCACGGACTTTGGACGGAGGTCAGTCTGCGGGAAAGGACATCATGCTTAGTACAGTAGAGGGTCGGCAAAAAAGAGGAAGACCTTCAGAGAGATGGATTGACACACTTGCTATAACAATGGGTTTAAACAGTCACGATGGACTGATGGACGGTGTGGGCAGTGTGTAATGTTGCTGCCCCTCCCACCATCATCTGGAAGATTCTGACTTACAGTGCTACCTTATCTAGGATTTCCAGGGTTGTGAATCTCTATCAAAAGCCTCGCCTTTCTGGCTGGGAGCAGCTGGTGGCTTTGGACTGCTAACCTTGCTGTTAGCAATCCAGCATTTAACCTGCAGCGCCAGGCCTCCTAGGATCGCTCTTGGTTGACACTGACTCAGGGCCCCCCTAAGCGCAACACAATGACTGCTTCCTAGGTTTAAAGGTGAATGCGTGCAGGTTGGTGGTGGAGAGAGCCGGGTTGCCTCCTGTCAGGGACAAAACCCTCCAGTTCTGAGCGGAGCAGTTAGCCACCCCTCACGGCGCCCCGCCGACCTCTGCTCGTCCATCCCAGGGGGCACTGCGGGGGCATCCACAGTGGCGAGCAGACTCTAGGCTCTCCGTGACGCAGACCCAGACTAGCTCTTGCCTTTCTGGAGCGCAGGATCCAGTGATGATTGGTAGGGATCGAAGGCGCGAGCAACGTGGTGGGCTGCGGAGGCCTGGGGGGGCCACGAGACCGACGCCCGAGCGGGTGAACGGGTCGGGGAGGGTGGTTGCTTCAAGAAAAGAGGACGGGACCTCAGAGCGGGCGAGAGTTCACAAAGCAGGCAGGGGCGCTGGGGCAAGACTTGGGGGGCCAGGGTTCGTTAGCCTTCAGCTTTGGGAGCCGCCCATGCGTGCTCTGCCATCGCTCTGGGCGGAGCCTGCGGGGAGCTTGTTTCTTCGAATGTTTCCGGACATTAAGACTGGGAATCAACTCAGTAGGAGTGAGTGGCGATCCGAGCAGGGGCCTGCGAGAGATAACGGCGAAGCAGCGGATACAGCGCCGGATTTCGCCAAAAAGAAATATCTCCCTGGCATTGAGTCAGTGCTGATGTATCACCACCCCTGTGGGTTTCTGAGGCTGTAACTGTTTATGAGAGTAGAAAGTCCATGCTGTCTCCCGAGGAGCTGCTGGTGGTTTCGAACTATGGACCATGCTCATCACAGCCCCACTCGTAACCACGACACCACCAGCGCTCCTAAAATAAACATACAGATTGGTGATTTATGACACAGATCAGAAAGACATATCAAATATTATCATGCTTGGTACAGTAGGTCATCGAAAACGAGGGTGACAGAGGATGCGGGCATGGGAAGCGACAGGACAGCACTCACCACCGCCACCCACCTCAAGATCGGAGTACAGGTTAGAAAACCCTTTGGGGGAGCGCCCCTCAGTCCTGTAGGCTCACTACGAGTTGAGCTTCTTTCTCTTTTCATGAGTTGGAATTGTCTCAATTGGAAAAACAATCGGAAAAACAACACATGTGCAAGTGCATACATGTATGTTTGCGAGCACACTGGCTTACAGACAGGGACGTTGGTGGCCCATTAGTTAGAGCACTCTTTACCAAAAAGTTAGAGCCCCTTTACCAAAAAGGTCAGTATTCGCAATTCAACAGCAGCTCCCCAGTAGTGTTTGGGAAAGATAAAACCCCAACCAAACTCACTACCACAGTAGATTGTAACTCTACAGGACAGGGTAGAACTGTCCCTGTGCGTTTCAGAGACTCTCTCTCCTGTGGTTTCGAATTCCTGACTTTGTGGGTTGCAGCCCAACACATAACCACTATGCCATCCAGATCCATCCATCCCTGGAAAGGTTACAGGGCACTTCTACTCCGTCCTGCGGCGTCTCTTTGATTTAGAATAAAGCCTAACGAGTTCACGCATACTCTCACACACACCTATCTGTAGGATGGCCAGTTAAATTTGAATTTCAGACAAACGAATATTTTTCATTGCAATGTGTGAGTGTGCTTATACTAAAAAATATGTGGTGGAGCTGGCGATGCACCAGGCTGCTCACTGCAGGGTCCACAGTCGCTCGGAAGGGGGAAAGAGGAGGCCGCGTAGTCCGGTGAAGACTTACAACCTCAGAAACCCTGCGTAGGGTCGCTGTGAGTCAGAATCTACTTATGGCAGGAGGGTCCGGGATGTATGCAAAACCACACTCACTGCCATCCAGTGACTCGATGACGACTCATAGGACAGGGTAGAATTGCCCCTGTGGGTTTCTGAGACTGCAATTCGTTTTTCTCCTGCGGGTCAGGCAGACATACTATGAAATTACTTGTTGTCTATCTAAAATTCAAATCGAACTGGGCGTCCTACGCGTTAGTTGACCTACTCAACCGGAGCCCCACCCCCACCGCGCCCCAGGAGGAGGTCTCGGGGTAAGTCTCAGGAAGTCCGGATGGGGAGAAATGAGGGAAGGCTCCTTTAAGGCTCGGCCAGGCCGCGAACTACAAGACCCACAATGCCTCGCGGCAACCAGGGGCTCTGATAAGCTGCGCTCTCTTCCCGCCTTCCCCGGGTTTCCGGCTGTGGGGTCCGGCGAGTGGCGGTTAGGGACGGCCCAGGTGGACTTGGCGGCGCAGAACCGACCCCGAGCTCCTGAGCGAGACCAGGGCGGACCGGCGGGCTTGCAGGGCGCGGGGCCGGCCCGGGCACGGCGTCGGCCCGCCGGTCGCCCTCCGGAGAAGCCCGTCCCGTGGCCGGGGGCTGCTGCAGGGGGACCCGGTCCCCGGGGCGGCGGCTGCCATGAACTTCTCCGAGGTCTTCAAGCTGTCCGGCCTGCTCAGCAAGTTCTCCCCGGACGGGAAGTACCTGGTGAGAGCCAGGAGCCCTGCCCGTGGGCCCAGCCGGGGCGCGCAGAATGCGGGCCCAGGGGTGCTGGGGTGCGCTGGCGGGCGCCCCGCACAGGCTCGGAGCGGCGCGCTGGCGCGGCGTCCGCCCCCGGGGTGGAGGGTTCCGGAATCCCGATACGGATCGGGCCGGGCGCCCGCTTGGGGACGGCGGTAGAAGCAGTGCCTGCCTCCAGGGGGGCTTCGCGGGGCTTTAAGTGAAGGAGCGCCCGTGTAGCCGGTGGCGCAGCGACACCTAGTCGTTCTCTTGTCCTGGAAAATCAAACGGCGGATTCCCCTAGCTTGTAGGCTCCTAAGGGGTGCTGCTGGCCGTCTAGCCCCGGAGCCAAAAGATCGGCCTTGGGAACACAGCGAGGGGCACTGCGGGAGAAAGGCCTGGCGATCTGTTTCCCCGACAGCCTAGAAAGGCCTGTGCAGCTCTTGTGCCCTGAAACACCGTGGCTGTTAGTTAGAATCTTAGACGGCACCGAACAACAACCATGCCAATTGGCTTCTCTCTCCAGACGCAAACGGTGGTGGGGGCTGTTAGAATGGTGCTTAAGTCACTGAAGCTGTTTTGAATGCAAACCTTAAGTGTGGAAATAGATCATTATGATCATATGCATACGCTCAGCGAGGAGCAGAGAAGGGAGTTTAAGTGGCATTGGAAAAGCCAACTGGCCAGCCCTGCCTGTCAGACCGCTGGCTTAGAACACCTTTTTTCTGGTGGAGCCTGAGTTACGAGTTCTGTATGTAACCCTCAAGTTACATTTGTACCTTCCTTGTTAAGAGGTGTGGTAAATCCCATAAAATAGCATCATTCCGTTACAAAGTAGACAATGTCAGTAGCTTACAGCGGCATCTCACAACCTTTTGTGTGTTTCTTGAGGTGCCCACCTGTAAATTGGTCGGTTTTGTTTTGGTTTATGCCATTTATGAAACTTCTAGTAAATTACGGAGAGAAAGATGATGTGTGCAGGCCTGCTCTGGGACCCCCTTTGGCTCTTACACCCCGATGACAATACAGTGAGGAAGATGATAGTAGCCTGATGTCTGAATGCTGTTCTTTAAAGCCGTGGCCTTGTTGCTACATAAAGCCCTTGGTGCCATCTTTTAAAATCTGCAGCGGCTTGTTTTGCAGGTGTTGGTTTTTTAAAACAAACATAAGGAAGGTAGAGGTAGCTCACCACAACCGCAGAGTCCTCCAGTACGAACAAAACAGGTCTGGTGGCGGATCTTTATCCCAGGCTGCCGCCCTCTGGGTCCCTTTCCTCCTCTTGTGGGAACGATTGCATTCGGAGATAAGGTGTCTACAGACATTAAGAGTATTTGTTTAGCTCTGGGCGTTACTAGCAAATGTGGACCTCCGATTGCTTTGGTTCTGAGTTAAGACACACCAAAGGGCATTTGTCGTCCTAATCGGTAACCCCGAGGCCTCGATTCTAGCCCTTTATAAATTCTGGGCAATGGTCTAAAATAGACAAAACTAAAGAAGAGTTGGTGATTAGGGTACAAGTAGCTCTTTTACCCTGAACTGTTTTCTCCTGGAGTTCTATTTTTGACCTGTAATTAAGAAGGGAGTGGAAATGCTATTCCAGTTCCCATTGAGGTGATGCTGACTTTGGGCAGCCCCATCGTGACTTTCTGTGGAAGTAGATTGCCAGGCCTTTGTCTGAGCATCCCTCCCCAGAGGGGAGGTTAGCAGCTGAAAGGGTAACTGCACTGCCTGAGGGCTCTAGAAAATTAAGCAGAGAGCTTAAGAAATGTTTTAAACCTAGTTTGCAGGTTTCAATGCAACCTTGATGAACTCTTCTCTCTAGAATGAATGACCTCAGTAGACATATGTAGGTAGAAAGCATGCCTGAAGGTTGGGGAGGAGGCAGCTCCAGCACCCAGGGGCGTTTTCCCACCCAGAAGCTCACTACAGATTACAGACCATGTGGAGCTGTGTTTTCCTTCTTAGGCTTCGTGTGTCCAGTACCGTCTGGCGGTCCGAGAGGTGAGCACCCTCCAGATCCTGCAGCTGTACACATGCCTGGACCAGATCCAGCACATAGAGTGGTCGGCGGATTCCCTCTTTATCCTGTGCGCCATGTACAAGCGGGGCCTGGTGCAGGTCAGTGCTGCCTGTCCTGGTGGGAATGCTAAACTTAGGCTGCCCAGGAATGTCACCAGGAGGGCAGGGTTTTGCACACTGTCCTTCCAATGAAAGAGAAAAGGACAACAAAATTCAAAGCCTGCGTCTTTGAAAAGGGACGAGATCCCTCATAGCTCGAGTACTTGTTCAACAAGGAAGCTCTCTGACATTCTTTGTCAGTGACCAGAAGTGCTCACGGACGGCTGTCTAGGTACTTGGGCATTGTGTGTGTTAGGAACCGTTAAGACGTCCAGTTTTGCTGTGGGCCCGAAGCTTAACTCAGTGAGGTCCCCACGATGGCAAAGTGAGTAAAACCAGAGCAGTCACAAGAAAGTGAACTCACCGGGCTGCTGTGTAGCACCTGGCCCCATGTCCTTCACAGCAAAACACTTCCACAGATTCCCTGAGTTGGGACTATGACTGGACACAGTTGGTGTCCACTCAGGCCTTCAAAACTCAGCGCTGACACCTGGAGAGGTATCCCGCTTAGTGTGCCATCCTGTGCTCTCTCGCGCGCATCCAGGTGTGGTCCCTGGAACAGCCAGATTGGCACTGCAAGATAGACGAGGGCTCAGCAGGACTGGTGGCTTCGTGCTGGAGCCCGGACGGTCGCCACATTCTGAACACCACCGAGTTCCACGTAAGTACAACTCCGAGCCCATCGCAGCAGCCCACCCACTCTACATTGCTTCCCCTAAAACCTGTTTTGCGAGGATCTAGTTGTCTGTTGGCTCTCTCTGTTGTCTCTTGGTGAAATCTTTTGATGCACAGGAGCCTAATGTTTGGGGGATCCCAGTCCTCTGGTTTCACGTGTTTTAGTGATGTTCGCTAGTGTGTGTGGAGTCATGCGTGAGGGCCCCTGAGTTTGCCCCTATTTTTCACTGATCTTTGTAATTGTAGGTTTTCCCTGTAGCTCTTGGATTCATCTTGAGTTCATTTTGGATATGGTGCCAGGTGTAGGTCCTGCTGCTTTCTTCTGCAAACAGAGATCCCATTTTGCTCACACCGTTTGTTAAAGAGACTGTCTCTCCCCCACTTAAGGTGCTTTGGTCCTTTGTCAAAGATCAGCTGACCGTAAGTGGGTGGATTTATCTCTGGGTTCTCATTGCTGTTCCATGTGGTGTGTGTATCATTGTCAGTATTAACCCGTAAGTAGATTTTGAGATTGGGGAGCGAGAGGCCTCCTACTTTGTTCCTTTTCTTTATTGGTGCCCTGGTGGCGGAGTGGGTACATGTTGATTGCTAACTACAGGTTAGCTATTCAAAACCACTAGCCACTCCTTGGAAGAAAGATGGGGCTGCCTACTCCTGTAAAGAGCTACAGCTTCAGAAACTCGTGGGCAGTTCTACCCTGTCCTATAGGGTCACTACCGGTCTGCATCAGCTTAGTAGCAATGGGTTTGAGTTTCGCTTATCTGGGGTCTCTTTCTTTTTCATATAAAATTAGCGATTAGTTTTTCTGTCTCTGTAAAGAATGATGTTTGACTCTGTATCTGGATTGCATGATATTTCTAGATCACCTTGGTGACTATTGACATTTTTCTCAGTATTGAGCCTTCCTCTCTGTGAGGATGGTATAGTCTTCTCCTTATGCAGGTCTCTTATGGTTTCTTGTAGTGGTGTTTTCCAGGTTTCAGTGTGTAGGCGTCTTATGTATCAGGCGGTGCCTTCGTGTTTACATGCTAGGCTGTTAACAGCAAGATCAGTTTGTAACCACCAGCCATGCTGAGAGAAAGACAAGGCTTTCTACTCCTGTAGGGAGTTGCAGCCTCGGAAACCCCAGGAGCCGCTCTGCCCTGTCCTGCAGGATCTCGGAGTCAGAATCAACTCCATGGCAGTGAGTTTGGTTTGATTTATTTAATATTTGGGGTATCTATTGTGCATAGTTTGTTTTCCTGATCTCCTATTCAGAGTGTTATTTATTAATGTAAAGGGAACTCTCTTATTCCAGGTAGACTAGAGAAACAAATCCAGGGAGACTCATATGGTCATAAGAAAAAGCTTTCTATACAAGAGCAGTTGACTATTGAGAAAACATCCCAGCCCAGTCCAGATCAAGTCCCTAAGTCCAATATTAGCCCATATGTCCCATACCAATCTATAAAGTCCTCTTCAGACTCACATGACGCCAAATGCAGGACGATCACAGGCCAGTGGGTGGGAAGTCTTGTGGATCCAGTGGCACTGTAAGCATCTCAGCGCTGACAGGGGTCTCCTCCAGTTCAGGGCACTAGTGTAGCTCCATGTGTCTTGTCAGCTGCAATGTCTCCCAAGGAGTCAGTGTGTGCTCTGCCTCCAGTGAGCTGTCTGTCTCCTTAGCACCTCCAAATGAGGTCATCAAGCTGCAACCTGATTGACAGGCTAAACCCCACCCCTTCACTCTTAATCCTCTCAAATTGATGACAGATTATGTAACTACCACAGGATCCCACTGGTTT